AATTATAAATCAGTTTATAAATTATATAAGTATACTTATATATACTTATATATTTATATACTTATGTGATATATTATGCTTAGCACATAATAATGTGCTAAGAACCCTATGAACACATACAAAATCACAACAGCAAAAGTCTATATGAACTTTGTGTCATACATCTGTCATGGATAGGAATACAAGATAGTTACTAAAATTGCTTCTTTTCAATTATGGTGTATCACTGATATTTAATGTCAAAGAAATAAAACCTTAAAAAAGAAAGAAAAGATATAATATGTACCTTTAATACATGTGGGCATCTCAGGCTCCCAAGTACTGTTTCCACCACAGAACACTGGGTTGCTGCCATTAAGGTAGAAACCCTTCAGGCATTCAAATGCAACCTCATCTTTGTAGAAAAATTTTTCTTTCATTTCTGACAATGGTTTTCCATATTTGAGTACTGGCGGTTCACACTGTACCACTAAGAAGCAGAGAAATTTCAGAATTAATAGAAAGTTGCTTTAACCCAGTGCTAGAAAAGATAGTGCAAAGTAGAAATTTCCATTTGAAAGAGAAGAAATGAAAGACAAGATGCTAATTTTTAAAAAAAGACTTTTTTAGGTGCCCTGGCCAGTGTGGCTAAGTTGGTTGAACATCGTCCAATGCACCGAAAGGTCGCTGGTGTGATTCTGGTCAGGGCACGTACCCAGGTTGCAGGTTCCATTTCCGGTCAGAGTACGAACAGGAGGCAGGTGATCGATGTTTCTCTCTCTCTCTCTACTCCCGCCCCCTCTAAAATCAATAAAAAAATATTTTAAAAATCTAACTTTTTCCACCTAGAACAAACAGTCATTATAGATCAGTGGTTCTCAACCTTGGCTGCACATTATAACCACCTGGGAATCTTTTTAAAATCCTGATTTCTGGGCCTCATCCTCCGGAAATTCTGTTTCTTTGTTACTAATGTCATGGCTCCACCCCATAACAAAGAAACAGAATTTCCAGAAGATGAGGCCCAGAAATCAGGATTTTAAAAAGATTCCCAGGTGATTCTAATGTGCAGCCAAGGTTGAGAACCACTGTTATAGATTTTTTTTATTTTATTTCATACATATTTTTCTACTGCAAATTTTGAGAAAATCTACCAGGTACAAATTCTAGGTAAGTTCAGAAGCCACTTGTGATACTCGTTAGCTCTAAAGATTATTAAAAACTTCATGCTAACGCTGATTATGATACCCTGTGATATGTTTCATTATGATATGTTTCAAAAGGCCGGAAAGACTCTTGTGAAAAGAAAATAGTTGAGCTATTTAAAAGTTGAAAAGAAGCTAGCCATGCAAAGAAAATATTCTCAGGTGGCAACATCACATATGAACTGGGATGTTCAAGAAACAGAAAGGCCAATGGAATTAGGGCCATGTTTTCCAAACATTTTAGACTGAAACCTAGAGATTAAAAAACAAACTAATTTTAGGTTGTAGACCATTACATACACACACATGGCTGAGATAAAGTTGAAAGTTAATACTTAGACTTGTTTTTATGTCAGACATTTAAAAAGGTGGTTAGTGGCATCTTTGTGGGTTTTTTTTTAAATTACATTTTTATAATTACTAATGATATTGAGCAAATTTTCATTTACTTTTTTTGTCATCTGTATTTCATGTTTGGTGAAATAGCTATATTCAAGTCTTTTGCCTATTTTAAACATTTGTATTGTTCTCTTACTGAGCTTTGAGAGTTCTCAATATATTGTAGACAAAAGTTCATTCTCAGATGTGTGCTTCGAAGATATTTTCTATTTATTGCTTTCTTTTCATTCTCTTAGTCTTTTGCAGACCAGAAGTTTTGCGTTTGGAACACCCAATTTGTTAAAATTTTGAAAAGAATCATGCTTTGTGGGCTGTATTTAAGAAGCCTTTGGCTAGGTCACAAATACCTAAGCTTTCTTGTAAAAGTCTTATCGTTTTGGTTTTACATGTAAGTCTATGACCCACTTTGAGTAAATGTTTGCGAATGGTGCTTACATAGG